TGATTGTGTCTCATTATTAATTAATCGAGAGAATAAGAAAATTATTTATTTCCTTTGGAGTATATGATCTCCACATTTGAAATGTCCACTTATGTTAATGGACAAGTATTTCCAGGTTTGAATTGGAAATTTTGAATTATTGAATTTAAGAATATTTTCTATGAGTGAGATTTATGGAATGGTTTTTATTTTGGGAGAGATTAATGTGATTTGTTCTGGGGTATGGAACTTAATATGGTATTGGTTTTGAGAATGTAGGTCTATGAATTTTGTTGACTTTAAAATGTGAATTATTATGGTGGATGATCCAAAGAGAGTTTATTGTGTTCGATTATCTATTTGTCATTCATTGATCAATATTTAAGTTGAATGTTGGGTACTGCTAAAGTTTGTGATTTGTTAGAACTTAAATCAATTGATGCCAAAGTTTTAGATGATATTTACGAACACATAATTTTTTAATGTCTACTTCATATGGGGTTTTTGTTTATCATCCGCTTCAAGGAAGAAACTTTTTCTCAAGTATGATGTGTGATTTGTATTTATGCTCTTTTTTGGGCATAGATTTACACTTCATATTTATTAATTAATTTATTTATTTGGCAACAAACTGATTAGTTTTGGGAGTTTTCGCTATTAGGATTCCTAAATTTTGTATTCTTGGGGTGCATTTTTCTCTTTGAAACAAATTAAAAAATTAAAGATGGAAGTTATGGGTGTCTTTTTCATTTTTTTTATTGAGTAATGCATTGTTCCATAATATGTTGAAAATAAATATACTTGACCATCAAGTATAGTTAGTATATTGTGAGGACTTTTTGTTTTTGTTTTTTTTTTTTTGGGATTGTGAGGACTTAGTTTATTGATAAGTCGTCCATGCCTTTTTTCATTTATTGTCACCAATGATTTTCTGTTATAAAAAGCTCATATACAGTAATTGTTTACGATTTTTTGTTTATTACATAGTGCCTTCAGGCACGGACAATAACTAGTATATTTATAACACTAAACAATAGTGTTAATATTGAGCATATTTTACGAACATATTATTTTTTTTATGTCAACAGAATTAAAATTTTATGATTATAGGTATGACGTCATGACGACGACATTTACATGACTTGCAGTAACATGGGCTCCGAGGTAGCCAACGGGTATTGGAATCGTAAGGTCAATGTAGAGGCCTATGATCTGATAGTCCGTGAAATTCAAGATGTGTCTCAAAATTGGCCGTTCATGTCAATTTCTTAGCAGAGGAGATTAGTACATCACCCGCTGACCTCGCAGCTAAGGGTGGTCCGCCAAGCGTTAAGTATCGAAAGGAACCATCATTTGTACTAGGAAATTCTGAATGAATTGCCAGTGCAAGATATTCAGTGGCTACCTACAGGGGCTAATGTGGGACAACCAATAGAAGTCCCTAACCTGAACGATAACGAAGAGGATGACCCACAACCTAATGTCCTCAATGTAGCCCCTGCAGTCGCACCACCCAAAGCAAACCATCGTGTAGCTTCTGCTGGTTCTGCGAATGTGTCTCCAAGGGGAGAGACATGAAACTTCTTGGTCCCTACCTGTACCGTCGACTTTATTATTCTAAAAAATTTTGCCTATAAATAGTAGTAACTTTTAGAATGGTAGGAATATATGTCTCACTACATGACTTAGAGGTGACTATCCTAGACCTTTGTTTTCCATATATATAGTAAGTGGCATCTAGGATAGGAAACAAAATGTATTTCAGCTGCTAATTATGTGGAATTGGTTTTTTTTTTCTTAATTTTTGGATGTGGTCATAGTTTTTTTTATGCAATCATAATATCATGGACTATGTGTCATAGGATGGAGGGAAACACATCTCACAACCAACCAGAGACGTCTATCAATTACCAATCCCCTCCAACACCGCAGGACACTATAAGTGGTATTTATCGATGCCTGAGAGAACTGACCACTTTGGCACGCCAACAGGTAGAAAATAATAACCATACTATGGTAATACAACCAACAGTTGAGGAACAAAGCGAATGTGGCTGAAACATGAAAAATGATGATACTCAAAGAATTTCTACGAGAACATTCTCCTGCCTTTTAGGGAAGTACAGAGCCACTTGGTCCAAAAATTTTCCGAGAAACCATTGAGAAGATCCAAGTAATTCGGGATCGGCTACGCATAGCTCAAAGTCAACAAAAGAACTATGCAGATTAAAGGAGGAGGCCCTTGGAATTTCAAGTGAATGATTATGTATTCTTGAAGGTATTCCCTAGGAAAGGAATATATAGATTTGAGAAAAAGGGTAAATTGACTACTAGATACATTGGACCCTTTGAGGTAATATAACGCGTTAGAAATGTGGCTTATCAACTTGCCTTGTCAGCTCAATTATCAGGAATATATGATGCGTTTCATGTATCCATGTTAAGGAAATATGAACCAGTTGCATCTAATGTCATCGATTGGAAGGATGTCTGAATTCAAGAAAATGGAACGTACGAAGAGCAACCTGTGTAGATTCTTGACACCAAGGATCAGATATCACATAACATGGTCATATCACTTGTAAAGGTGTTACGACAACATCATGGTATTGAAGGACCCATGTGAGAACTGAAAGCAAATATGCGTACACGATATTCTTATCTTTTTAATTCTCAAGGTTTGTATCAAATTTTGGGGACGAAATTCTTTTTAAGGGAGGTAGACTGTGATAACCCATATATATATATATATATATATTATTCATTAACACGTTAATTAGGTTATCAATTATGATTCTATATAATTGAGATTTATTTTTTCTAATATATATATATATATATAAATAAATAATTTTTTTGAACAAATGGACCTCAAATTTAAATCTTCATGCAAAAATAAGTCAAATGACTATAATTTATGTCAAATTTTGTAATAACATGAATGTATCTATAAGTATGTATATATGGCAAAAGGACAAGTGTCCTCCTTTACAACCCGACAAGTTTAAACCGTGCAAAAAAAAAAAAAGAAATGGCAAGCAAATGGGCAGAAGTCCATGTGATGCAAGCAACTTGCATCATGGATGACGTTAGGGAAGCCAAGGCTCGGCTATAAATAGCTTGTATTTGGGCTTCAGGCAGCGCACCAAAGGAAGAAAGGAATGGAGAGAAAGAGAGAGAGAAAGGGAGAGAGAGAGAAAGAGAGAGAAGAAAGAAAAAAAGAAAAAGAAGAAAGAAAAGAGGTCAAAAATCTTATTGACCTAAGAGGTCACTCTTGCAATTAAAAATTGTTGGAATTTTTAGTTATTATTTAGTAAATTTTATTGGTTCGAGTTTCTTAAAATTGATTTTTATTAAATATTTTTAGATCAAATTTAAATATTATTATTTTTGTTAGTTATTCCAAAAATTATTTTAACTTAACTAAGCTCTTATTACTTATTATTATTCTAAAATATTATTTTGGTTGTTTTGTCACAGTATACGGTATCAAGTAGAAGTCAAGGTAGATGTAGAGTTTGTTTTATCTTTTACTATCATTGATGCATTTTATACATATTTGAGGGTTTCATATTAAATCTATTTTTAATTATATAATGTAATATTATATCGCTATAATCATGGGATCGAACTGGGATTTTATAAATAAATCGTGATCATGCACATGTTGTATTTTTATCGAGACTCTAATTATCTTATTAAATCACGTTGCATAATAAATATTTTTTTATTATTATTTAATATTTGATTTGTTATTGGGTCTAACTACGATATGATTTTATTTTGTGATTTGGATAAAATTATTATAAATACACATAATCGAGGGTAGAGGGTTAGTAGATGAGTGATCCTTGCGATGATTCACAGGATTTTTACTAGTCCTTGGGTTCACTGGTTAATAATATCGATTGCTGTGGTAGCTTGTGTGGTACCACATAATTTATGGTATTGGTGTTTCTAGAAAAGCAAGAAGGGCATTGGGTTCTCTAGGGTGCAAGACCCCAAAGTTTTCTCCGGAGGTTGTTCATGCGTGGACTAAAAAATTGACGGATTGGTATGATCGCTATGTGCTAAAATTTATTTGATTCATTGCTTTGCCCTATTTTTGTATCTATGCATTATTTAATTATATTATGCATTGTTTTAAAACATTGGTAGTCATTGATAAATGTTATCCTACTGAGCTGGTGAGCTCATCTCTATCTAAAATTTTTCAGAAATATGAAGCCGGATAAGAGGATAGACTGAAAAGATGATGGATATTTCTCTTTATATTGTATCAAGAATATTTGAAATGATATTGTGAGGATTATGTACTCGTACGCGGAATATAATACTACAAGGAAGATTATTGTAAGGTCGATGTAATTTTATTTCTTAATTACGCCCGAGTATTTTTCTTTTGAAAAAGGAAAAAAAAAATCGGAGCGTGACAGATTGGGCTGCCCCTGCCATCATCACAACATTCAGTCTCTTTAACAATATTTGGTCCATAGGGACAATTACGATAAGTGAATTTGAACCCATAACTACTAAAGAAGGGCGAAATTTTAAGTCTTTATTAAAGCGAACTAGACTACTACTCTCAAAGAAATTTAATTCTAACATCATAGTTCATGCCACGTTGGGATTGGGTTTCTTCTTAACCTTATATTTAAAAAGAATGGGTTTTTTTTCCCAAGGATACAAATTAACAAAAATAAGCTAAAAATTTTGTGTAATTTGAATGTATAAAAAAAAAATTCAGTTTTGTATTAAAAATTATTATTTTTTATGGTCAAGTTACATTTTATAAGGTAAAATCACAATTACTTAAGATAATTCATGATTGATCATAAAATATTATGATCGATCATTTATTACCTCAAGCAACTGTAATTTTATGTTTAAAAACTATAATTTCCATGAAAAATCATAGCATACTTTTGTCCCACTTTGATGTTTATTTTTTCAATTGGGTTACTTTAGTTACCTAAATTTTTTCAATTTATGGACCACATTTAAATACCAAGAAATGTCCCGCAAAATGTTATAGATGACGTAAGACCACTTTGATATATTTTTTTTAAAGGTAAGCTCTAATACCATTTTTCATATATTTTTTTTTCAAGATAAGTCCTAATACCACTTTGATGACATATGAATGGATTTTGTTGGTCAAGATTTGCGTCATGTCTCTTACTCCGCCGCCTAATTAAATTTTAATATCCAATTATAAAATCTTATAATTCATTTCATTCAACGACCCACAATTATCCACATTTTTCCACCCCTCCAAAATTATCATTTTTTACACATAATATTCTCCAAAATTCTGACGTCTCAATCAATATTCACCTCCTCGGTCTCTTTTCTCTTTTATTCCCTCCCCCTCCCCCCTTTCTGTCAGATGAGCCTTGCCTCTCCGGCTATATCTTCTGTTTCTTCTTCTTCTTCTATTTTTTTTTTCCTCCCTCTCACTCATTCAAAATTCTGACCACTCTCACTCTCTCTCTCTCTCTGTTACGCCCCCATCGACACCACCAGCACCATCGCTTGGATGTTTTTTGTTGCCCTAAATCGTAGAACAGTCCAGAAGAAGGCACTCCAGGCGACTCCGGCGAACTGCGACTGCGATTGATCAGCCACTGCGATCGATCGTCCACTGCGAACAGGCGAACTCAGGCAAGATGTTCTTGATTTGGGTTTAACCTGGAAAGATTTTAAATTTGATATTCAGTTTTTTTATGGGCTGTGTGATTTTCTTTTAAAATCATTGTTTATAGAGTGGTTTGATTTTCTTTGTTCACCTCCATATGTTCATGTGATGTTTTCCCTGCGCAGCACACACTAACAAACCCAGCACACCCACACCCAACACAGACCCAGCACCCAACACAAACAAACCCACACACTTTGGACGCCAAGTGTTTGCTGGAATGACCAACAAAAATTTTGTTGTTTTTTTTTTTATTATTATTATAATGAATTTCTTGTGTCTGCTCCGTCGACATTAGTTTGATCCAATGTGAACTGGATGCTTGATGATCCTCTCAGTAAATCACATCTTGGAGGGTTCTGAACCAAAATTTCACTCAAGAAAGGCCATTTTTTTTGGGTTCTACTTGCTTCCTGATCTTGGCCATTTTTTTTGATTATGCTAACATTGGATGTTTTATGACCCTTTGGTTCTGGTTGACACTCAAGTTAATTGCTTGACGCAGACAAGCTAAACTGAAGCAAACTGTTTGTTTGCCATTTCTTGGACTGATTTTGTTTGATGCTCTATACATTGGGGTTGGTCTTAGACTAATTTTCTTAGCCTAATTGAGTTTTAGTTTGTTAGACTTTGCTAGGTTGTTATATTTGTGTCTACTCTTTTATGGCTATGCCTTGAGTTACTGATTAAAGGAGCTATTTGTTTTCCCTTTCCTGGTCTGATATATCATCACAAACATTTCTTCATAGTTCATCAGTTTCCGGAAGTTGTCCATCATTATGTGGTCTTGACCACTTGTTGCAGTATGTTCACTAGGTTTTTCATTTATATTTATATTCGAGATGAAGTGAAACTTTGAGATGTGTTTTTTTTCCTTGCATGGAAAATGTGCATATAGCTTGATCACTTTTAGTTAGAATGTATGTAGAATCCTAAATGGATCTTCTATGGTATGTCCTTTAAGGGCATCTCTAAGTCTTTGGTTTCCATTTAAAAAATTGATACATTACATATTTTTTTACAGGTCAGATCCCACGGAGAATGATAGTGTAGAGGGTTTGAGACCAAATGCTAGAGGGCCTGGTCTGCATGCTAAATCTCTGCGATATATGTAAAACAGATCTCTGTTTCTCTTTTTTTTTTTTTTTTTTATCAATTCTCAATAATTAATTGCTACGTACAGGCAATAATCCACATTTTTTCATATTCAACATGCTAACTATTAGTTATAGAGTTTATAGGGTCAATGTACAAACTTCTTATAAATGGAATATTCTTTCCTTGTGTTGACATACTCTTGTGGCCTTAACTTTGTTCTGTAACTCTATCTCATTACTTGCAGCCTGCTCGGGTTACGGACTTCTGTAAGAAAAACAAATTACAACTATAAGAGCACATGAATGAGTTATGGATAATGGTATAATGTGTTTGAAATTATTTTTTGGCGTATAATGTGTTGAAATTATGAATTTCTGGTGTACCTATTTTAATTGATTCTTTCACTAAATTTTTATTGATTTACACCTTGTTTGATTTTTGTAATTTTATGTTGTATTACATTTGCGCCTCTGCAATGGATTATTGGAATTAGTATGTGATTAGTATTATTGGAAGGTAGGAATTAAACAATACACTGTTCCAATAGTTTTTAAACTTTCAGAAATCTAAGACATTTTATATTGGTTCTTGAAAAGTAATCACCTCACTTTCATTTTCTGCATATGGAGTCATAACTCGCTTTGCATTATACTATGCAGTGGAAGCACCATAGTTGGCGTCGGTTCCCCAGACCCCCCACAATTTGTCTGTGATGATAGTGAATACGAAGATGTCTTTGTGTCAGGTAAGCAACAAGTAACCTGTCCAGGTTTTTTGTCTGGTAAGCCCAGGTTATTCATCCTTCTATATCTTTAAAAGGATAAGTTTTAAATACTTGTCAAATCATTATCTGTCTGTTTATTCCTTGCTTATCAAATAATAGTTTGATATGTGTCTATTTCTTGTTTAATTTTTGTGGGTAGTTACCGTTTTACCAATTTTTTAGGGGGAATTTAACCCATTGTAGAGAACAAAATGACCCATGTTTTGATTTCTTTGATACTTGCAGTGAATTGCTTGGATTGGTGGGTTAAAGGCCCTGAATTTCTTCACATTTGTGAATCATCTTTGTAGGTAATTTTTTGATTATTATTATTTTTTATGTTTGGTACAATTCGTGTTGTGAATAGTCATTTGTTGAACCAGTTAATTGAATTCTATTTTTCTATTTTATGTTTTTCCGTTTCTAACATTGTTCTATTGCACATTTTATGTGATATATGTTAGGTTCGCATTAAATGTAGTGTTAAATCAGTAGTAGGTAATTCTGTTGCTTAGTGCAAGAAACAAACATATATATTGTCACATATGCTCAAGTTGTTATGAGTGTGAAAACTAATAATAAGAAAAAGAAGCAAGAGAAGATGAAGAGTGACCAATTTTTTAATAGAATTCAATTCGTTCGTTTAGATTGTTGATATTGATTAGTTTTCAAAAAATTTACCAAATAAGGATTAGTAAGATAGTGGATTGTGGCGTGATGGTGATTGTTGCGGTAGTGGTTAATGGGGTTATAGTAAGATACGACTCTGGCGTGATGGTGAGTCCTATATTGGATTGTGTTTTTTTCAAATACATGGTTTTAACAAAAATAACTAATTTTATAATAGAGATTGTTAGTACATAGGATTATCTTTTTTAGGATAACTTCTTCACATTCTTTCTATTCAATAGGGTTCTTTGAGTTGATAGTCACAATGGTATTATTTTAAAAGGTATAGATTGTTGATTCTATTTACCTTCTTGAAAGAAAATTACTGATTTTTTAGTGTCTTTTTCGACTCCATGCTTAAGATTGTATTGTTATTCTTATATGTTAATATTTGCAATTCTGTAGGTATGTGTGGGTGGATTGTTGGGTTGGTTGAATGAGTGGTACGTAGATGGTCTAACAACATAAATGGTAGTGTATGTAGAAGTTAAATGATCCACTTAAGTGTACTTTCTTTTATTGGTTTTTACTATGCACGGTTCTTTCAATCCTTTTATCGGGTTTTATTCGATGGGAACACTTTTGCAATTTTCTTTTTCAGTAGTGCACACACAAAACAAGCCTTAAAACCAACAAATGGAGCTCCAGCTCCATTGGCAACATGCACAACATCTCCTATTTTTCTAGGCAGGAACTCTTATTTTTCTTTGTTTTTTATTAGTAATTTTTCTGGGTTTGTCCTCTCCTATGTTCAATAGCTCTAAAGTTTGTTTTTAAATTCAATTTGTATCCCAGCAAACTAACTTTTTAAAGCTAGCCAGTATACAACTTTTATCTTGTGTGGTGTTTTTTTCTGCCACTATTCTTTAGTTTTCTAAGTAGTTGCTCAGCTTTTTTTAATGAGTTTATTTGGGCCTAATTTGCAGACCTAATGTATTAATTTTATTTATTGTGACAATTGGATTAGCAACAAGTTCCAATGTTTGATAAGATCTACTATCAATTCAACAACTATAGTGAGTTAAGTTAAATTAGGTCTAAATAGCATTGGTTTTTAATACCAACCGGGTCTCCCTTTTACACCAATCAGATCTCCCAAGTAGCTGCCCTTTCATATTTTACTAAAGCCACAACCTTGTCACTTGCTGACTCTTTGCAACCACTAAAGTTCACTCAATTACATAAAATGTAAGGGACTCAACAAACCCATGTGCTCAGGTGTAGCAACTATTGACTACACTTCTAACAATTACATAAAATGTATCTTGTAAGCCATTTTTCTTTTGTTGATGCTCATTTTTTATGTTGGAATTATTTGGTTACGTAGTGCCTTTTGGTATGGGTATTAACTACACCTGAGCACACGGGTTTAGATGTAGGAGGAAGGGCATTTTTATGATTAATTGTATTTTAATTGGGTGTTTAATTTGGCTGTATTTTAATTAGGTGTTTAGTTTGGCTGTCTTTTAAATTGGGTGTTGAATATAGTTTGTAAAATTTCAATTTGAATTTTTAGTATCTTGATTTGATGAATGTTACTTTGTAAGAAATAGGTTTTTATAGGGTTTTGATTAATTATAGAGATTGTATGTCAATTTGTATGAATTAGAGGCTTATTGTGTGTTAATTGATAGAGTTTGAATGTCAAGTAGTATGAAATAGAGGCTATGATGTGTTTTTAGCAATTTTACAACAAAATGAATGTGTATTTAACGAATATTTCTAATTTTTTGATTTACTCTGTTTCTTATATTTGTAGTCATCATAGTGTACTAACCACCACTACAAATTCTCAACATTGAAAAATGAAAGATCTCGCCATTTTTTGTCATGTGAGTTTAAACATCTTCTATTTTTTTTTTCGACACCGCAAAATATTATCATATTTATTTCACTTTATTTTCACGCATTTTTTTACATATTGATGACGTCTTAGAGCTAACCGTAAGATGAGTTTCATTTCACTCATATTGTTAATAATTTTTTTTCATATAGTTTGTGTTCATTTACCTATTAAATGCATATTCATGTATAAGTTCAATTGCTCAAGAAAAATAATGTTGATATTGTGATCCGCGACGAACGTGAACTCAATTGCATCCTCATTTCTGAGGTAGTGTCATGATACATCAGTTTGTTTGTAGATTAGACCTTTTTTTTTCCTATATAATGATTTCATTTATCTATGCTTACTATCGAAAAAGCAAAGGAAAGAACAGTCGTAACTGCAAATGCAAAGTGTAAAGGAAAAGAAATAACAACCTCTTCTGACAAGAAAAAGGTAAGTACTTTGTGTCAAGTGGTATTACATTGCTAAAAATGTTATTTTATTGATCAAACATTTTATTTATGTTATTTCATCTATAAAATTGGGATGAAGCACTGCAGGAGTTAAAAAGACTAAATGCAACCCATCTTTTTCGGTGGGATTGTTTGAATAAGGTAACTAAATTTATTTTTTATATATATTTTTTTTCAAGTTTATAATTTTAAAATTCCTGTCATGTACTAAATTTGACTGTTTTTATAAATGCTAGATTGTTGTACATTCTCCAAGTTGGAAGCTG